TAATCCATATAATGTATATAATTTACTTAATTGTTAGTTTCGTAATTTTTTTCTTATATAATCCTATGTTTGAAATATTTGGTAAAATTTGTATTATTTTATATCTTATATCATGGAATTCTATCAATTATAAACTAATCTACAATAGAAGGCAAAAATAGAATGTTATAATTTTAACTCGTGCGACATTTAATATAAAAAATAAAAATATTCAAATAAGGGAATTTATTATATAATAACACTAAAATTCATTATAGAATTTCGAATTCAACGACATTGAATGAAATTGAAATTCATAATAATCAAATTAACATATCATAAATATCTCCAGCTCCTCCTTGCTATTGCTGAGGGAAAATATCTTCATTTTGAGGAAAAAATCCATCATACTTGATAACATGCGTTCTTCCATGGAGCACAAGTTTCCATTTGTTGGTTATGATATCCTTCTTCCCATGATTAAATTCAACGACATAGTTGCTGATAGCATACACCTCGCCTTCATTCAATACACCTCGAAATGCTCTCATATGTTTGGAGCGTATTATGCCTTTAATGAATGTACCCTGCAATATAAATTTATAAATATGAATTAAAATGTTTTTTAAAATTGTATATATTTGAAATTGCAAATAGATATATTTACCTTTTCATCATGAAACAACATATGGACTGCGTTCTAGCTCTCTTGTCGGTGATGCGTTTTAACTATTATGACTAATTTCAAATGCAGAAAAGGCTTGTTTCTCCTACTCACGGAATCGAGTGTATCCCAGACTGCTGGCATCTCTTTTTTTTTATCTGTAAAATTTTTATCCTTTTTTTTTCTGTGAACTTGAGAATGATCGGACTTTTTTTTTTATTTCTCCGAAATGTAATGTGTGACGTGATTTGTATGTAATGTGAATGGCGTTAATTGTTCCTCAATTCTATTATTTTATACCAAACAACATGATAATTATGGATCTTGTAACTTATCCTATTTCTTATTATTTTATTATTTTATACCAAACAACATGATAATTGTGGATTCTTTGTGACTTATCCACAGAACTCTTTTTAAATTTCAAAACTCTTTTCAAATTTCAAATCAATTTCGTGTAACCATGGTTTTTGAAATTTTCGTGTGTAATATAATTGGTCTAAAAATGGTATCTATATTTAGAATGTCAAACTTTATTTTTTTTGGTCAAAACTTTCTAAAAAGGTATTTTAACAACAACCTTTTTATATATATATAGATATAGATTTGATTGAATATGGTAATCAATATTAATTAAATTTGCACATTTGTTTTATATAAAAAATGGCTTTATTTAAAGCACACATTGAAATCACACGTTTTTTATTTGTCGTGTCTACATTAAACTTTTAATTAATTGGGTACATAATATTTGTAGATTTGGTTCAGATTCTTCAATTTCAATAATTGGTGAATTTACAAAGGATTATCCATAAGTTGACATATGGAGGGGAAGTTAGAATATGTAAATTGGACAAACTTTTTCTCAATTATGTTTTTTATTGAGTCTCGCAGTGTGCGCCGCCAGCCTCGGGCCGGTCCGTCGGAGTCTTTTGGCCTCCCAATCGTCAGCTTTGTATCCTCATTTGGAGGCAACCGAACAGCCACGGGTCAGTTTGGGCGAACCCATTTGGGTCCTCGGTTGTGGGCTCTTTCAGTGTGGCTCGTCGTGCTCGTCCGACGTGACTCCTTTGATGTCGTCTTTCGAGGCGGCTCTCCCCCAGCGTTGAAGGTTGATGGAGCTCAGATCTGGACTGAGAATCGCCTTCTTGCCAGATCTGTCTAGGCGGTTCGAGCTTGGCCGTAGTTTTTGGGTCTGGTGTCTAAATTTGCAGTTTTGTTAGGATTCTCTGGTGTGGGTGGTGGCTCGTGGACCGAGTTGGTTGGTCGAGCGGTTTGCCGGATAGGTATAGGGGAGGTCTTACTCTATTTGTTAGTGTGCGTTGTTTTGTTTTTTTTAGTGTTCGTTTTGTTTAGTCCAGCTGCGTCTGACTTTTAGTCTCCATAATGGAGCTTTAGTCTCCTTTATAGAGTTTAAGTTTTGCGGGTGTTTGTGTCTCTTTTGTGGAGTTTATACCCCTTGGTCACATGTGTAATTTTAAGGGGTTGGTTCAGACTTTGTTCTGTTTCCAGTAGTGTCAGTTGACACCTCGATTGTACTCTTTTGAGTTTTTTAGTTTTAATATAATTATCGTTTGAAAAAAAAAACATATTATTTAATATGGAAGGAAAATTCGGATATCAATGGAGGGAATATTAGAATATCATGTAGATTCATAGTCTTCTTATTTTAATTATTGTTTGATCTCTTTTGTAGACATTACCACTAATTTAATTCCATATTGTAAATTCACTATTCCAAAAAGAACACACAAACTATTCATATTAAAATTGAAAAAGGAATTATTTGGATATTATGTAAACTGGAATGCTAATTTTTTTAATTAAGGAACTAAGTTCATTTATATTGGAATCAAAACAGAATTCTATTTCCATAATAATTCAAAATTTTCAAAAGCCGAAATCATAGTATATTCAGATTTTGTCCAGTTAATTATTTTAAATAAGGAATGAACTTCATCTATATCGAAATTAAAACATAAATTTGTTTCCATATCAATTAAAAATTTTCAGAAAGATATATATAAAATTTCTTTGTTTGCACATTTGTGCGTTTATATAAAATCTCTATCATTTTGAAAAAAAAAAAAAAAAAAAGATTACCAAAGAACATAATTTGATTTTGATGGACACCAAAGCGGAGAGTAACAGAGCTTTTCAAATCAAACCGAAAATTTGGGAAGTTACCTTTGAACCTAACAAAACTTGTCATACCGTGTATCAAAATTTTAAACTCAACAATTGTGAGCCGAAATGGACCAAAGTTGTTCTCTATTTGGTATTTGTGAATTCCATAAATTTCTCCTTATTTGATTTTATCCGTCTATTTCTTCACATGGGCAACCCGTATGATTCCAATAATATGAAATCCTTATAATAAAAAAAGTAAATTTAACACAAGTACATAAATATTTAATTGAAAATAATAATTTGTATTTATATAAAGAAAAGGCCGAATTAAATAAAACTTCACCTCCTCATCGTGCAATAGGATTTCCACAAAGTTATTGTATTCAACCTCAGGATTTCCACAAAGTTCTTGTATTCAATCTCAAATTTGTGTTCTATTATTTGAATCGTACCCAGCTTCATGGATAGCTTCTTAGTCCTAGTACATCTTTGATCAAACCGAATTCACACTTTATTTTGAATTCGATTAAATTAAATAAATATAAATCGTGTATTTGTGTACTAAAAGATGAGTAGACAAGACAATATCGATCTACAATGAATTTATAGGGAAGAAGACTAAAGTACATTATAGTTCAATTCCATAAACATTTTATATGAAAATATTTTAGTATGCCTTTGATTTATGTCAAATTTTAGTTATGTTAGGTCAAATATATATATATATATATATATATATATATATACACATAAATACATACATACATAGGGGTTGGTTCAAATAAAAACTAGTCTTGGTGAGAGAACTGTGAGAACCATATTTGACGCTATTTTTAGATGTGTATGATGTTATTTGTAATATCACATTGTGCTATCATTTTCACATATGCTAATATAAAACTATTTTTGATAAAATACATTCATGTTAAAAATAACACTAAAATACAATCAACCATAGTGCTACGTACAATTAAAAATAGAGGTTCTCATGGTTCTCACGCCAGGACTTGGTTCTCATTTGAACCACATCCTACATACATATAAAAATTAGTTATGGTGTGAGAACCGTGAGAACCATATTTGATGTTATTATTAATTATGTATAATGTTATTTGTCATATTACATGGTGTTATCAGTTTCACAAATGTTAATATAAATTGTGTTGCTATAAGTTTTTAAATTAGTGATTTGGTTTTTTTAGCTATGATTTATTTTTTAAAAATAGTATATTATAGTTGTTTGAGCCGAAAATGTCTGAGGATATTGTTAATTCGGCGATCAAATTTTTTATATGTGTTTCTTTTTTAATTCACAAGTTTTATTTATGTTTGGAAAATTGATATCTATATCAATCAAATCCACACGCTTGTTCTCAGAGCATCTTCAAGGCTCTAATGTTGTTATAGAATAAATTTTGACAAATGTCAATAAATTAAATGGATTGTGAACTATGTAGGAAAAATGTTAAGTTTACAAATATGAAAATAAAAAATTATCTTCAATGCACAATGTAGTCTAACTATAATATTATCTACTTACCAAATATTAATATTTTATAATGTGTAGTTAGAATACTAATCAAATAATTAAAAAGTTTGAAAATGGGAAGAATAATTCTCTCTCTTCTTCCATTGGTTAGTTAGAGTGTGGAGGGAAATGTAGATGGGAAATGTAGATGGACCACGTTCTTCTCCACATTGTAGACATTAATTATGTCCACATCATCACAACATTTGTTATCACACTGTGCATTGGTGGATGAAAAGTTCTGACATTATTAAATATGTTGATGTAGAATGTAATTTACAACAACAACATTTGAGCATTAGAGATGCTCTCAAGTTTGTAATCATGATATACATATCAAAAAAGATCTTTAAGTAATGCATGGTTATATTTATCTCATATTTGATTGAAATATGGTAATCCAATTTTTTTATATATGTTTCTTTTGTAATCCACACGTTTTATTTTATGTTCGGTCAAACTGATGTTTATATCAAATAAATGACACATTTGTTCTCAATTTTGTAATCATGGCATATTTGGCAAAAAAATCTTTAAATATTGCATGGTACTTATTATCATATTTTATATATGTTTCTTTTGTAATCCACACGTTTTATTTTATGTTCGGTCAAACTGATGTTTATATCAAATAAATGACACATTTGTTCTCAATTTTGTAATCATGGCATATTTGGCAAAAAAATCTTTAAATATCGCATGGTACTTATTATCATATATTTGATTGAATATGGTAATCAATATTAATTAAATCTGCACATTTGTTTTATATAAAAAATGGCTTTATTTAAAGCACACATTGAAATCACACGTTTTTTATTTGTCGTGTCTAAATTAAACTTTTAATTAATTGGGTACATAATATTTGTAGATTTGGTTCAGATTCTTCAATTTCAATAATTGGTGAATTTACAAAGGATTATCCATAAGTTGACATATGGAGGGGAAGTTAGAATATTATGTAAATTGGACAAACTTTTTCTCAATTATGTTTTTTATTGAGTCTCGCAGTGTGCGCCGCCAGCCTCGGGCCGGTCCGTCGGAGTCTTTTGGCCTTCCAATCGTCAGCTTTGTATCCTCATTTGGAGGCAACCGAACAGCCGCGGGTCAGTTTGGGCGAACCCATTTGGGTCCTCGGTTGTGGGCTCTTTCAGTGTGGCTCGTCGTGCTCGTCCGACGTGACTCCTTTGATGTCGTCTTTCGAGGCGGCTCTCCCCCAGCGTTGAAGGTTGATGGAGCTCAGATCTGGATTGAGAATCGCCTTCTTGCCAGATCTGTCTAGGCGGTTTGAGCTTGGCCGTAGTTTTTGGGTCTGGTGTCTAAAGTTGCAGTTTTGTTAGGATTCTCTATTGTGGGTGGTGGCTCGTGGACCGAGTTGGTTGGTCGAGCGGTTTGCCGGATAGGTATAGGGGAGGTCTTACTCTATTTGTTAGTGTGCGTTGTTTTGTTTTTTTTAGTGTTCGTTTTGTTTAGTCCAGCTACGTCTGACTTTTAGTCTCCGTAATGGAGCTTTAGTCTCCTTTATAGAGTTTAAGTTTTGCTGGTGTTTGTGTCTCTTTTGTGGAGTTTATACCCCTTGGTCACATGTGTAATTTTAAGGGGTTGGTTCAGACTTTGTTCTGTTTCCAGTAGTGTCAGTTGACACCTCGATTGTACTCTTTTGAGTTTTTTAGTTTTAATATAATTATCGTTTGAAAAAAAAACATATTATTTAATATGGAAGGAAAATTCGGATATCATTGGAGGGAATATTAGAATATCATGTAGATTCAAAGTCTTCTTATTTTAATTATTGTTTGATTCTTTTGTAGACATTACCACAAATTTAATTCCATATTGTAAATTCACTATTCCAAAAAGAACACACAAACTATTCATATTAAAATTGAAAAAGGAATTATTTGGATATTATGTAAACTGGAATGCTAATTTTTTTAATTAAGGAACTAAGTTCATTTATATTGGAATCAGAACAGAATTCTATTTCCATAATAATTCAAAATTTTCAAAAGCCGAAATCATAGTATATTCAGATTTTGTCCAGTTAATTATTTTAAATAAGGAATGAACTTCATCTATATCGAAATTAAAACATAAATTTGTTTTCATATCAATTAAAAATTTTCAAAAAGATATATAGTGTATGTTTGGAAGCACTTTTTTTTTTTTTGCCAAAACGATAGAGGATATTATATAACAAAAGTGCACAAATGTGCAAATACAAGCAGCCCAAGGCTGAAAAGTGGGAGGACAGGTCATGAGACCGCCTAGAAACCCGGCTAGCAAGTGCTAGAACAGAAACTCAAAACTAAAACAACTAGACACGACCCCCAATGGGTAATACAACAAAACAACTCAAACAACAAAACAACAACACACGACCCCACAGGGTAATATCCGAGTGTTGGACCCCCACAGTTAATAAATTTGACACCCGGATGCACCGAGGCCAACGGCCCAAACCTAAAACACAAACACAAATACAAAACAAACACAAACAAGACAAACACAGACACCTAATTACTACACCCTCCCCCGAAGAAAGACGATCCCGAACAAGCACCAACCGGATCACAGCTCGGCCCCTAGCCAAGGAACAGCTCCCGAAACTGCAATTAAGCCTATACAGAAACCGAACCCCCGCCCCCGAACCAAACCACGAGGCGATCTGCCGCCAACCGAGGGTACAGGCAGTTGAGCCACCCCTAACCGGCACACCCCAAGCGCACCTAACACCACTAGGCTACTCGGGGGCGTCGGACTCCGACCAAGCCGCAGCAGAGCCGGAGAAAAGGGGCAGCTCGCAGCCACATACCCTACTCCTGCAGCACCATCACAGGTCACCGGAGCCCCACCCCATCCATTGACCACCGCCATCCCAATGCCACCGCATCGGAGGATATCCCCACACCAGGACTTCGGCAGAGACGCTCCCTGCAAAAGACCGAGGGGAGGCATCAAGGCACCAACCGCCGAGGGCGAGAGACCACCTCCCCCAACCAGAGTCCGCCACCTACACCAGGAACCTGCAAGCCACCGGGCTCCACTCGAGGGAGAAAGAACGGGAATCCCACTCACCAACCGTCTTGAGCCAATCCGCCAAATCCACCAAACACAGCCAGAGAAGAAAGAAACCGGCATCAGGGACAAGCCAGGCAGTCGCGGCGGCCGCCGGCCCGGCCTCGCCGACGCCGGAGGAGGTGAAGCGATCGAGATTTAAGCGGCGAGAGTTAGGGTAAATCTGGGGGAGAAAATCGCAGGAGAGAGGGTTTGGAAGCACTTTTGTAATGGACTTCTGACTATAAAAGTTCATTTCCTAAATAAAAAGATGTTTGGTGTAATTAACAAAATAGACTTGTAAAAAAATAACTCCTACAAAAAGTCCATTTTAAAGAAGTTTGACTATAAAAATTCATTTCATATATAAAAAGATGTTCGGTCCCACTATATTACCAGGCTAAAATTTACAGATTGCTTTCAGATAATTTAAAATATAGAGTTGGTGTCCACTTAACAACAATAACATGAACTTGAGGAAAATAAAGGCTCTAGAAAATAAATAAATGACATAGAAATTAAAACAAAAATCACATTAGCACTGGAAGCAATATTTCCACCAAACCAAATTCTTCATTAAAAAACTCATTGTCATTGAACAAGCAAATTTATTTAGGAAAAAAAAAAACTCCAAAATACACAACATAAAATATGAATGAAAAAACAGGTATTTTCAAGGTGAAAAACTACCAAAAAAAAACATCAAATATGAATGGAAAGACACCATCAACAACCAATAATTATTACATAAACATAGATATCCAACTTTTGATGAAAATAAAATTTGTTCCCATAAGTTAATTAAAACAAGCAACAAAATATATTTCTCTTGAGATTGAAGAATAGGAGGTGTTTCTCTTGATTGAGAACTTGTTCACAATGCCTTGCCAATGTCTTGATCAACTTGTGGATGATAGTAGCTTGTAGTATTATCTGTTTGTTTTTCACATTGAATGTGAAAGAAGCTGGTGATGGGGTAGAATTTGAAGCTAGTGATTGTTGAGTTAATCCTTCTTGGTATCCATTACCATCCTATTTCAAATCAATAATTAGTAACAGTTGCAAAAAGAAAAACAATCATATAGAAGCTACTAACCATTAAGAGTTTAGAGTATGAAAATGTTGCCGGTACAGAAAAATCTCTAAGAATGGCATCCTGCACACTAGTATCATCAGTTTGCAAGTCGGAATAAATTTTTCTCTGGCTTTTTCCTTTACTTGATGCAGATGTAGCCTACAAAGAGTGAAAATCATTTAACCAATAGTAATTTTTTCTAATAACTGTACCAATAGTAAGGCAAAATATGATCATGTAATTGCACATATATTTTTATTTTATTTTTTTTTTAAAAAAAGGATTACCTTCACTTTATGTGATCGTGACTCCAACGGATTTTTTCGTCTCAGTTTTCTCGGAGCATCTTTTCTTTTGGATAAAACAGGATCACGAATAGCCCCAATATTTTTATTTTCAGATGGATTTGGTGCAGTGTGTTGCGGCATTAAATTCTTTACACTACTCAAATACATCGACGACATTTCACCACGTTGTTCTTCGATCCAATCTAATATAAAGCAACATTTTTCTTCATTTTCGGAGGCAAAGTATGCCAACTCAGCGAAAGATTGACACATACTTTCGTACCTAGTTTGTCCAGCGGTACTCATCATCCCGTCATAGTCCACACTAATCCTAGTATATGCTCTGATCACATCTCTTCTCCATCGTCTCAATATATACCTCTCGGGCAATACAGTGATATCACATCGAATCAGAACCGTAATAGCATGCTTACAAATGACTCCTCGGAACTCAAACAAGTGACAGCTACATGAAAATTCTTTATTCTCCTTTTGCAATGAGACGGCAAATATTTTTTTCTTTCGTCCCTCTCCAAGAATAATAATCTCTTGTACCTCGTATGTTGTACCGATGTTTGTCATAGCGGCAGATATGATATCACAATACATTTTTCTTGTGAATTCACTTTGAACCTCCCTGAATTTTGAGATGGTGTAGACGGATTAGAATTGTTTCTCTATTTCAAATGTTGTCATGCACAGCAACATTTGAATATGACCTAAAATCAGCTTGGATCTCCTTTTCAACTTTACTTCTTAGTGCTTGTTCGTACTGTTCAACGAACTGTTTTAAAGACGTCTTGGAATGTACATACCCATCAAAAAACGCATTCATACTTTCACTCCTTTGAGTTGTGGACATCCCAGCCCACATACAAGTATTCAAGAAGCAAGGAACCCAACGCATTTGATTCTCGTATAATCCTGATAACCATTCATTTTCGTGCAATTCATATTTATTAATCATCACGTCCCATCCTGCCTCAAGTTCTTCAACATGTTGTGAACCATATACTAGTCATGTATAGAAGCAAAAATCATTCCCTTATCAATATGGTAGCCAAATTTTTCAGGCAACTTTTTCAAAATGTGCCAAAGACACCATCTATGTCGCGTATTAGGAAAAACAACTCCAATTGCATTTTGCATAGCTCTGTCGTGGTCTGTTATTATTCTGATAGGAGCTTTATCATTCATGCACTTAAGCCAAGTGCTGAACAACCACACAAAAATATTGGTATCTTCATTGGACAATAACCCACAACCAAGTAATATTGACTGTCCATGGTGATTAACACCGACAAACGGTGCAAACTGCATATCATATTTATTAGTGAGGTATGTCGCGTCGAACGTAACCACGTCACCAAACTCTTGATATGCTTTTCTGCACCTATTGTCCGCCCAAAATATATTTTTTAGCCGAGATTCATCATCCAAGTCCATACTAAAGAAAAATCCTGGGCAACGGGCTTGCATATTTGAGAAGTAAGATTGTATTGCCGCAGCATCTCCTTCTCCAAGTCTTAAATACCTAACTTGTTCAATATAGTTTCGGCAATCCTTTTCATTGAAAGTCAAGTTTTCATAGCCACCTACTTCTACAACAGTAGAGTTGTAGCTTTTATGCAATGAGATTCCCGCCATATCATTTACTTCAAGCTTTCGTTTAACATATGCACTCAGCTCCCGATTGCAAAGAAATAACCTCGACTTAGATGGACTTGTTTTATGATTATGTTCCAGGATGACGTTGTTAATTCTCCATTGTCCATTAGTATCAGAAGAAGTTGATATCCTAGCCTTGCAATTTGACTGAATAGTTGGTTGCCTCTTGAAAAGATGATTTTGCGTAGTCTTACATTTTTCCTCTCGGCTACAAGTAAAGGTCACATATCTCAAAGCCCCGTTTTTCTTTTTAGAATTTCTCTTCCGAACTGGAAAGCCTACACCATATGCATAGCGCTTATAGGAATCCCACATGGCGTCTTCGCTGCTAAATATCATGCCAATTTCAGGCACAGTTGAGGCATCTTCAGCTAGATCACTCGTATTCTTATTCTCAATCACACTGTCACTGTTGAGTTCTACAAAATCATCCAAATCCACGGGTTCCATAGTATAGTCTGCAAAAACATATGAAAATAATATGTTACAAATTATAAGTATGATATTTCCCCAATTATTCATCTGACATAAGTATGAATAAAAAAAAAAAAATATTTGCCTAATCCGACCATGAAAAAGTAGTAGAATCAAGTTAATCAACAAAACAATACAAGTTCATATAAAAAAACTCACTTTAGATTGTCGTATTCAAAGTTCTCAACGGGAACAAAAACTTAGTGATTTAAACCTACAATAAATTTGTCAACGATACATGTTTCTTGTGAGGTGTTGTGGAACTGATTTTTAATAGATGAAAGAAGAGTCTTCTGTAAAATTTTTGGAGGTGTAGTTTTGTGGAACTGATTTTCAATAGATGAAAGAGGAGTGGGAACTGGTAGTATTTGGGGGCAAATGAAATACGTCTTTTGGATTTCCCTCTTTTTCTTTTTCTATTTTTCTTTTATTTATTTTGTATAAATGCCTGTAAATGTTTTGTAACAATTATCTGGTAGAGTAGCTTTTTCCAAAGACGCTTATATTGAACACTTCTTGAGAAGTCACTTTACAAAAAGTTCATCTTAAAATAGACTTCTCAATAAGTGTTTCCAAACAAGCACATAATCAGAGTAGATTCAAGTTTTCGGTTAATTTATTTCTAGATTTGGTAAAAAAAAAATTTGTCGAGAAACAACTACTATTTCAAGTAAATACAAACATTTATATATATATATATATATATATATATATAGGGAGTGGTTCAAATAAAAACCTTTACTGGTGTGAGAACCGTGAGAACCATATTTGATGCTATTTTTAATTGTGTATGATGCTATTTTTAATCTTACATGGTGCTATCATTTTTACAAATGCTAAGTTGCTATTTTTAATAAAATACATCCTGATTAAAAATAGCACTATATATCATCCTGCACTTTTAATTATGGTTAATTGCTAAATTGCACATGTAGAATCATCCTCCATAATTTATGTTTATCTCAAATTTACTCTCTCCTCTTTTTTGTGCAAATCTCTTCATGTGTTCCTTTCTCTTATCCCTTCGAGCTTGATGCATCAAATCCAACGCAACTCTACTGTTAGGTTTCAGTGATTGCAACTTGCGAAAGATTTAGTTATCGGATCAAAGGAAATCGAGAAATTAATGGCGTTGGACGAAGCTTGACGGCGACATCTATCCAACTATGGGAAACATCCCAAAATTTTTTATTGGATGCCAAATTAACGACATGAGATTTATCATGCTTTTAGGCAATTAACTATGATGTTGAGGTTGTATTTGAGCCTATATGTATGTGATGGTATGAATTTATTGGAACTGCGTGAAAGGTGGATTGGTTAAACATGTAATCGATACTAAGCACAAAGACAACTCTGAGGTTGGTTTCACTTCAAATGGTTACTTGTGATTTTTCACATTATAAATAATAGTATTTAGTTTTAGTTTATGTTTTGTTTTGTAAGATTTATTGGTAACTTAGATAAAAAAAAAAATAGTGTTTAATTTTGGTTTGTGTTTTATTTCTATAAGATTTGTTGTTACTCGAGTTCTTTGTTTTACAGTTTATGTTTTTATTTGTAGTTATATATGTTTTTATTTTAACTTTTATTATATTTAAAAAAAAATTAATTTGAGTTCATGTTGTGTTTGTATATATATTTTAATTTTAGTTACCTTGTTGCTATATATCAACTTGTCCAATTCGTCATTTTAGTTTTCTTTAGTCGGTCCATATTTAATTTATGGCCTAGACTCTAATTGTTGTCTGCACAAGTTGTACCATGGCATGGATCCCCATTATTGGAAGTGTTGAAGGTGAAATAATACATGTGCTTAAAAAATTTAGTATGCTCGTCTAAATATGTAGTTGGAAATATATTAGAAATTCTTTTTTTTGGGTACAAATATATATTAGAAATTCTGATTGTGCTTAGAGCTGTTAAGAGAAACGAGTGCTCGTAAGTCTGATTTGACTTGACTTGTTAAGTCTCGAAAATAAATATTTTATAGTTCATCTCGTTATAGTTTAATTTCGACTCATATTGATAAATAAGTTGAGTTTAATATCGTTTTATCGATTTATGTAGTTGACAATTAAACGAGCTGAGCTCAACTTGACTAGATAAAGACTTGAGCCCTCAAGCTCGGCTCAAATCATTTACACAATTAATTGTGCTACACAAACTTGTATTCATTATTCCAAAAAAAAAAAAATAACTTGTATTCGTTTGAGTTGAGTGATATTTTAAGATTTTTTCAAATTGAAGATTTTTAAATTTAAAAGAAATCACTGAAAATTTTATACTGAATATGAGATTTAGAGTGAGATTCTATTTATGATTTTTTTTTTAAATTTTAGTAAGTCTTAAAATATAGACAAATCCATGCGTGATCTTTTTAAGAGCATGTGAAATCTCAAATGAACATGTCAATTTTTTAAAAGTTTTATAAAGTCCAAAATAATACGCCAATATTTTACTTCGAATGAATGCTATTTAGTACTTTCAAAACACTTTTACATAATCTATATACGCGCCATTAATTATTTTTCTAAGTTAAATTAAAATATAAAATGATGCTCATCATTAGTGACAGTTCCATTAATTGACGAGTAACCACTTGAATTGTGGTTCAGATTTAGTAAAACGATGTGTGTAGATTGTTGAGCTACATTTATATCCTAAGCATCGCTGTTAAGCAAAGCACACCAATCAATCTCAATTATTATTTGTCAATTTTAGTTAAGGGTTTGTTTGGTCAAAGCTCGGAGAAATAAATTAATAATGTACAATAATTCAATTAATATTTAGGTCAGCAAAACCAAGGCTATCTGGTCCAGTATCCAACTAAAAAGCCTAAAATATCATTGGTTTTTGACGTTTGCTCCTTTTTCCTTTATTGTTCCCTTTTTATTCTGTTTTATTTTTTCGGAATTTTTTATGATTAAAATATTGTTTAGTCTTAAACCCGTAGGTGAATTTTATTTGGATAATGGAAAAATATGTACAAAAGATCCAAAACGAGTATTTATTTGGATAATAGTTAATAAAGCTAAAATGACATTAAAAAGAATAGGAGGTAGTATTATTTAGTCAGTCCACTAACAATTACACGGATGACCCATACTCGGTCATATTTCCTGATGTAGGGAAGCGTACGAGTGAGAAAGATAAACGAGATACTCTCTCGATAAAACTCACAATTAATTCATTTTTCTATTCAATAATCAACTAAGGAAAATAAACTAGATGGAGTTCTTTATATAAAGCTCATAACCCTAGATATTAACTTGTTCACCAAGCCAAATAAATAATAATAATAATAATAATAATAATAATAATAATAATAATAATAATAATTATTATTATTATTATAATAATAATAATAATAATACTATTCTACACCATTCTCCCCCGGTTCGAAAGGCTTAGCCCTCGAAGCCGATGCGCTCCCATGGCTGGCGTGTGGTGTCGAATCTATGATAACAAACCTTCGTCGTTTTCCCCGATCAAACACGAAAGTTGAACGTCGCCCAATCAATGCAACACTCTCTTGATTTTCATGAAACAGGGAGACGACTACAACTGTCTCACCACCATCATCAACAAATACCAAGACTCTTGGGCACAACCACGAGCGAGCAAATCTGCCTTTAGGATCAGATCCCACACAAAAAACGTGGTACCACATATCACATGAATCACAAACAACGGATGCATCAATATCTAAATATACATCAATTGATATCGATCCACTACGAATTTTGCAGTCATCTCCATCCATGCCGACAACTGCATTCTCATTGATTCCAATGTCCCCGCAAAGATTTTTCTCCGTTACCAGAGGCTCCTCATCAAAGATCGGCGGACCGTCGTACAATGGCCCATCAACTTGCTCATTGTCGAATGTGGGGATGCCAACGCGAAACAGGCCCTCCCATTGACCATATTCACGATCAAATCCCCAATCGTGTCGGGCACGATATCCGCGGGCGAAGGCAGCCTCCTCGCGCCTGCCTATGTCGTCGCGTTGATCGTCGCCGTCCACGAAGACCGGGCCCCGTCGCCGCATGTCACGACTGCCGTATGCAGCAAAGGGGTCAGCCTCGACGTGTGGGGGTAGAAAATCGTCGAAGGAATTCACCTCCGAGACTGTCTCCTCGCCATCTTCGTCGCCGGACGGTGGTTGTGGAGATCCCCAACGGGACGCCCCGCCAAGACCACGGCCTCCACGTCCTCCCCGAATTCCCCCGCACACGCCCCGGTTGCTGGCGTCATAGTACGTTTGCTTGTCCCGAACCATGGTACGAATAGTTAGACGTATGCCCCCGATCTCCGCGGACAAATCTGCAATCTGACGACCCATCATCTCGAGCTCGTGGCCAAACCACTTGGTCCGGCAGCTCAGGTTGTAGATGGCGGCGACACGCCTGTCGTTTGCAGCATCTTGACTTCGCGACAGCATCGTGAATCGTGCTAACTTCTGATACCAACTGATGTAGGGAAGTGTACGAGTGAGAAAGATAAACTGGATACTCTCTCGATAAAACTCACAATCAATTCATTTTTCTATTCAATAATCAACTAAGGAAAATAAACTAGATGGAATCTTTTATATAAGGCTCCTAACCCTAAATATTAACTTGTCCACCAAGCCAAATAAATAAAAATAATTAATAATAATGATTAATCCTAATAATAATAATAATAATAATACTATTCTACACTATTTCCTTAATAAACAATATATATTTGTATTTTGTAATATAGGATGTTATATTCTTATTTTTATATTTTTTAGAATGTGACACCTGAGTTTAAAATTGTGGATATATACGAGTGGTGTATATAGGATGTCATGTTCTTATTTTTATACATTAACTCAGGTACTTCTTTTGTTAAATATCAAACGATTAGACATGATACATACTCTTCCAATAGATTAATGAGATTATACACATATTTTTGCACTCAAATATCATACTTCATAAATGCAAGTATGATATTTTGCGTTTTTTTTAAATATAAATGTATGATTGCCTAAACAATATAGCATTGGTGTATAACCACTTACTAGTACAGAGCCCGTGCGATGCACGGGGTGCACAATTTTAAGGCTATTTATCCAGACTTATAATTATATACATGAATAAAGAAAAATGTACGGAATATATATAGTACGTGACCCGTGCAAAGCACGAGATATATTTATTTGGAGAATATTATATTGTAAGATGCAATACCAAAATAGTAATGACATTTAATGCAGTTGACTTTCCTGGATTGTAAATGTAGTAAATAGAATATCTTTTTATATAGTGTAATACGGAAATAGTAATGCAATAAATGTTGTTGACTTTTCTGGCTACTTAATTTGGTAAATAGTACCCCCTTTAATATATGTATAGATATAGATTTTTGTATGAGTTTATTACTTAAATTCCTACAATATTTTGCCCCTTTCTCTTAGTTAGTGTGACTTAAATAATTTTTTTAAGAAAACCGGAGAATTGGTCAACCTAATAGTTCAATATTTCATTAGTCCGATAAATGTTAAACCGGTTAGACCTTTATTTAATTTATCGATGTTTCAAATATATAATAAAAGTTATATATAAAAACTCTGTTAATTGATTTTTTAGATAATTTAAAACATTCAAATATTTAAACTAACTAATAACTAACTTATATATATTCAATATATTTAAATATGTATTAAATAGTTCTAAATATATTAAATTTTATTTAAAAAAGCTAGAACGGTTCAAATCAGTCCAGCCGACCTGTTTTTTGTCGGTTCTGATCGGTTATGACCAGTTCAATCGGTCGTTGACCAGTTTTGACCAATTCACTGACAGTCTGTTCATTCCAGCGAACCAGACTGGTTAACTGACCGATTCTCGGTCCAACAGTCTAAACTATGATCGAGAGACCCATACAACTACTATTACGATTGAAATAAGACAAGTACACGTGGAGTGTGCAAAATTCAATCAAAACCGAAAAAAAGACCATAATAAAAATTTCGATTCGTTTGTATATGTCGGTTGGGTTATTTATTATTTACTTTTATAATTTTGTTAATTTCAGGTCGGTTTCAATTTTATTTTGAAATAAGCGAAATACCCAAAGCGACTGAACTGCATACAATTATTATTTTTTGTGCCTGTTTTATATATACACATTTATTGTCTGCAAAAATATTATAAAATATTAAATAAGATATTAAAATAAATATATTTGTTTATATTATGAATATAACTTATTTTGATTATTTTTTATATTTCGGTTAACCGACTGAATAAACTGAGTATTTCGATTCAGTTTAATTTAGTTAGAATTGGGACAAAAATTCGGTCTGTTTGATTTTTTCCAAAAGTTCAACGTGCTTATTTAGTTTTGATATTTTGGTCGGTTGATTCAACCGAATCGACCGATACAATCCTAAGCATAACCGTTACACATTAATAATTTCTATCCATTATGCATACTTACCATACACAAGTAATGTATTTCAAAAATAAATATAAACAAAATATGGTTTTCACCCAAAAAAAAAAATGCATTTTATTAAAAATAAGTATATCAATTGACATTTCTAGTCATTAATTTGTCTCACACAAAAGTTCGTGTATAACATGTGTTCATAAAATATGATTGATATTTGAGTATTTAATTGCAATAGTTGTAAAATTAACACAAGGTAATAATGATACTAATAGGTCAAATACCAACATAATAGGCATTTGAAGGCTCGAAACAGCCATGCCTCATTGAAAAGGGGCTACGGCTGCATTGTTGACTTGTACTTTAATATGATTACCTATAATTAAATGAAGCCTATAATACTTTTTATCCACGTGACTTCATATTGGAGCCAACTTATTATACATAAAAAGTACAAACTAACATATTTTATAATAAGATAAAAATACCATTAGTGATTACTTATTAATAAAAATATTATTCTAATTATTAACAACTACTTAATAAGTAAATTTAATTAATAACTAATCAACCACAATGAAAATAAAAGCACCAATATTTATAAATTAAATAATACTACAAAAAGTTTGTACAAATACTCAATCACAATGAAAATAACAGCACTTTATATTTTCAAATTTAACTTTGAGAAAAAAAAATATTGCAAAAGTTTGTACTATTTTTCAACTTATATAAACTACTTAGTTGTACAGATTATTATTAATTCTATTGTTTAGTTAAAAAATGAAAGAAGTTTTGCATAAATTTAAATAATATTACAAACATGTAATATTATTTTTTTAAATTAAAATTAGAAAATGTAAGTTCTTTTACATTTTCAATATTGTAATTTTTTTTATCCAGTAGTTGTCAGATGTATTTTTATCTAATTAAAAAATATGGTACTTTTTATTTACTATATAAAGGAGGTTGGCTTCATTATTGAGCCAACTGTCGATTTCATAGTAAAACTATATTTTTTATGTAATATTATGACGAGTAAGTTAAGTTACTAATTTTGCATATTAGGGTTTGGTGGGTCATCTTCTTTTATAGTATTTTAGACCGGTCTAACTATTAGACCAACATATTTTTTTAACAAATATCATAGTTTGAAAAGTAATATAAATAAAAGTATGAAATTTTATAGTATAATTATTAATTTTTATTTAAACAGTATGGTGGATTAACCCTCCTTAACTGTTAGCTACCTTACATAATAATATATGTTTATGAATTTCTCGCTTATTTAATTAATATCATACATGGATATGCATTTTTCTCAAGTCATGCAATATGCGTGTGCAAATCACATATCATTAGAGCAAACTTTAATTTGACATGCTATATGTGGAAAATAATGATATAAAGGACAAATATAATAAATCGAAAAATATACAACTTATTGTTCCCCTTTAAACGAGTGAAAAAAAATACTACTAATACTTGTCTGTAATATGACATATACTTATTCGGTTATTCCCTTTATCAATACATAAAAACACTTATACCATAATTAGGGGTGTATACAAGTCGAGCTGAGCTCGTTAACTCAACTAGTCTATAATAAGCGTGTTCTAGTCTTAACGAGTTGAACCACATTAATTCACATTAAAACTATTATTTTCTAGTTTTAACAAGTCATGATCGGAAAATGGTATTAACGCTATGTAAAATAAATTTTGAAAAAACCAAGAAACCCCCTCGTTGGCCAAAAATTCCTGAAACCTAATCCCATAAATTCAAGCTCGCCGTGTGCCTTCCCCGGCGATTCGCCGGTCCCTTTGCCGGCGGATGGCTCGCCGCTGCACCCTCAACCCTATTTTCTTCTCATCTACATCTCTTCTCCCCTGCGTCGATGGCGGATCTGAGGTCTCAAACACCGATGGTTGTCTCGGTGGTGTGGATTTTGGGCCGCGTTGTCGAGGGTTGGCTCGCCTTTTGGTTTCGCTCTGGTTTGGTTCGCTAGTGGCGAGCTCGATTTCGGAGCTTCCGGTGGAGGGCTCGTCTTGCAGTGGGATGTGGGAGTTCGGTGTTTGGTCGGGTTTTGGGGGTGGCTCTGGATGCTCGGCTCGCCGGAGTTGAGTGAGCTAGGGCTAAGGCAGGTCGATTCGAGCCCCCTGTATTCCTCGCTACTGCTGTTGTGACGTGGGGTGTCCGGTTTACCGGATCTAGGCTAGTGGTGTTGGCCGGATCTAGGGAAGCCGGAGTGTGGGGGGGCTGGTCGACTTTCCTCCGGCTGTGGGTCGGTTTTCACTTCTTGGAGTTGTCCGGGGCCTCGGATTTTGGCTTCAGCTAGGCGTTTCGGCAGTTTCGGGAGCTGATTTCTAGGTTGTGGTTCATCTCTGTGGGTGTTTGTCCGTGATTCTGCTGGTGCCTCGTGTTGGGATTGGTATTATTGCTGTGGGAAGGGTTGATTATGTTTTTTTATAGTTTTTTTTGTTTTGTTATGTGTTGTAGGCGTGTGCTCGTCTTGTGTTTGTCTTTGTGTTTTAGTATTTTTGGTTTGGGCCGTTGGCCCCTGTTAACCTGGGTGTTACCTTTATTCTCCTGTGGGGAGCCAACACCTAGGCATTCTCTCTGAGGGGAGCTTTTAGTTTTGTGATTGTGCTTTAGTTGTGTTTTTCTCCCGTGAGGAGCCAGTTTCTAGTTGTTCGTTGTTTGAGTTAGGTTTTCTTCTGGCGTTGCCAGCGATTCTAGGCGGACTTCGGTCTAGCCTCCCAGTTTGTAATTCCGCACTTTTGTGCGCCTTTTATATAATTCTTCTATCGTTTCGGAAAAAAAAAAAAAATTTTTTATTTATAAATACTAATTAATACTTTTTACCAATAAATTGGTACTAGTAATCATTTAACAGCCAAAAAATTTTAGAAGCAAGCATTAAATCTTGAACTACTAACCAATAAAAATGCCCTAATGAAGCCCATNGTAAACAACTCATTCCCATGATATTTCTTCATAAAACAGGTAACCTTTTTTTTAATTCTATAAAAGCTTTATCTAAACCCCCTTGAATTGTCCAGACATATACATACATGCGTATACACTCTCCCTCACAAATAAATATTACAAAAACCCCCAAAAAAATTGAAAATAGAAAAATAAATCACACAATTAAAAAAGCAAAATATACTGAACCAAGAGCTTTTCCAATCTAACCTTACCCACCCACCAAAAAGAAAACAGACATAAATCTTCTTCTTCTTTTTCTTTTTATATACTTATATATATCATCGTAGTTAATTTCTCATTAACTGAGTTATCGCTAGTGTTTGCTATATAATTTCTTGCAACTGGGCATTTGTTGAGAGCTTTCTTGGCGTGAAATTTGAGAAAACAGTGTACCGAGCTCTCACACTGGAGAAAGAAAGTTATTGGGTTGAATTAATTATTCGAAAGCTGCAATCTTTTTATCATTTTGTGGGACTTTGAGGATTTTCAGTATCTGGGCTTGTGTGGATAGGTCACACAATGTTGGGAATTTTGAGGTTGTTTTATGGGTTGGAGCCGATCGGAAAAGTGCCGGCGATTTGATGGGAACGGAGTTGTTTTTCACTCTAAACGGCGTCGTTTCATGGAGTTTAAGATTCGGTGCAATCGATGTACCGAGGTTTATTCACTCCGAGGATATAGGCTGAATTTTGCTGTCATTGTTGTCAAGGTGAACTCTACTGTCTTGTTGGTTTCGTTCTTATGTTTTTTTCCATTTTTTCTTCATTATTTTTTCCATCTGAAAATGTTGAAAATGTGACGTAAAAGATTGTGTTTTTTTTTGTAAATTAGATGTAAGCATAAGAAAGTGGAGGTTTGGGACTTGTTTGGAAGCTGAAGAAAAGAATGATGAGGATGAAAATGTAAAAAAAAAAAAATCTCAGATTTTCTGACCTGTTATTGCTTCCCAGCTCCCATTTCAACTCAAATTAAGAGCTTGTAATTTTTTGTTCTTCGTTCCTATTTTTGGTGAATTTTGATGTTCTGAACTAGGATATTTTCACCTCTTTTTCCTGCAAGATGGGCTGATAGCACACTTCCATGTCTTTGATAGTTTCCTTTCTGGGTAGTTTTTACGTTTTAGCTTCTTGTTTACAAGAAGTTATTTTACTCCTGCTTTCACCATTTTTATAGTCAAAACTTGTTGTCATTAATCTTTTCCTTCTGAAAGCTCAACATTCTTTCAAGGCTTGTGCCTTTGCTTGCCATATCCTTCAGCTAATACAACAACAACAACAACATACCCAGTATATTCCCAACAGGTTGGGGTCTGGTGGGTCAGTTGTACGCAGACCTTACCCTTGTAATTATACAAGGAGGCTGTTTCCGTAGCGACCCAAAGTGCATTGCGCCGTTTGATATATTTTTTTTTTTTTTCTAGAAACTTCACTAATAGAAGAAGCACTAGAATTTAATTGAGCCATTTTGATCTAGTCCATTATTAGCACTATGCCAGGAGAATTGTCAACAATGACTCTTCCAACTCCATTTGCAATAATTGTGGGAAAAATTGTGGGTAAAATTGGTTTCCTTATGACTAATTTGTTGGAACTAGCTGCACATTGACCCAACTTGCTATCTATGTACAATTTGATCCCATTGGGGGCAAATTGGAGAACCCTTGTGCATGTTGTTATAACCATTTTACAATTTATCCTTGGAAGCCAATCACTAAGCTTTAATATAAAAGCCGGATTCAAAATATACTCAGTTTCGATCATTCTAAATCTCCTGAACGTATGGTTTTTAAATATTTAGATCCAATTTGCTATCTGATTTTTCAGGTTCTATTATTTTTGCTGCTTTTGGAAGCTGCATTTGCAACTGCCAAAGATTATAGATTGCAAAGTTCAGATGCTGAACAGAACAAAGACATTATAGAGAAACATTCTTGCATTCACGATCAAATTATCGAACAAAGAAAAAGACCTGGCCGAAAGGTGTACACTGTGTCTGCTCAGGTCTATATTGAGCCTAATGTTCAGAAGCCTCTCCAAAGAAAAGGAAGGGCTTTGCTAAGTGCACCTGAATTATCAAGGAATGAACTCGACTCCAAAGCCCCCATTAGGATTTATTTAAATTATGATGCTGTTGGCCACTCATCTGATAGGGACTGCAGGAGTGTGGGTGACATAGTGAAGGTGAGTGAGTGCAACAAATATGGGGGAAAAAAAAAATAAAGGAAAATTTTTGTTCTGAAGTTAATTATAAANTATTTCTATGTTTACTTGGGCCAGCTGGGGGAGCCAAACGGTGCTTCTTTTTCTGGTGGTCCTTCTTGTGACCCACACGGAAGTCCTCCAATTTATGGCGATTGCTGGTATAATTGTACACTAGATGATGTAGCTGGGGAGGACAAAAAGTACCGTCTTCGTAAGGTTCGGTTCCTACCTTTTTTTTTTCCCCATTTTCCTTCTACAGTGTTCTTGATTAACCTAAACAAAGATTGAGAGAGATTCCACTGTGGTTCTCTTAACAACATACATATTATTGTTACTGGAGAAAAATGGGGATGCTTCATTTAGTCATATGTGTTTTATCATTATTATGATTATTATTACTTTAGGCCCAAATATTTGAATTTTTGGCACAATTCAAAAGGTGTACTATGAATATACTAACATTTAGAGAGTTTTTCCAGGCTCTGGGGCAGACAGCAGAATGGTTTAAGCGAGCCTTATCAGTTGAGCCGGTGAAGGGCAATTTGCGGTTGAGTGGATATTCTGCCTGTGGTCAAGATGGAGGTGTACAGCTTCCTAGGGGATATGTTGAAGGTTATCTGTTTAGTATATTTTATTTGTTGATTTTATCCTGAAGTCTGTGATTGATATATTAATTATCTGTTTATTTTGTAGAGGGTGTTGCTGATGCGGATTTAGTTCTTTTGGTCACCACAAGACCAACTACAGGAAACACTCTGGCATGGGCTGTGGCCTGTGAACGGGACCAATGGGGTCGTGCTATTGCCGGTATATTTATTATTTATTATTTTTTTGGATAATTTTTGAATGAGATGGGATTTTGAAAAGTGTACGCTTGATTGTATATGCGACCACTTTTTTCGTGCAGGGCATGTTAATGTTGCGCCTCGCCACTTGACTGCCGAAGCAGAAACTTTACTTTCTGCCACACTGATTCATGAGGTGGGGTGGAATTAATTTTCTTACACTGTTTTTAAAAAAGTTTGTATGTTTGTTTTTCATCACAAGTAGTGAAAAGCTTCTAAATTGTGTAGGTTATGCATGTTCTTGGATTTGACCCCCACGCTTTTGCTCATTTTCGGGATGAGAGAAAAAGAAGGCGTACTCAGGTACATTGTGTAACGATTTTCAATTGCCGAGTATGGGTCAATAGCTTAATATGACTTCTTTTTCTGTTTATTTTTCTGTTCTTTTCATTTTTACTCTCAAATGCTTATAACTCTCTACCAACAGAGTTAATGAGTGAAATATTATGCCATGCATGAAGAATACAACTTCTCAATGCCTCATATTTACCTGAAATGGCTTATTCATCAGAAAAAAAGTTCACACAGTCACTTGAATATGATGAAAATCTTTCTGTTAATTCTCTCTGTAGGTTACGGAGCAGCTCATGGATGAAAAACTCGGACGTGTGGTAACAAGAGTGGTGCTTCCTCGAGTTATTATGCACTCACGCTATCACTATGGGGTGAGTTTTCTTTTCTTGCTCTCCCTGCATATTCTATTTTGTCCCGAAGATTATTAAGCAGCTATTTTGTTGAGAATTATTTGCATTGTCATTTTGTTCAGGCTTTCTCCGAGAACTTCACTGGTTTGGAGCTCGAAGATGGCGGTGGCCGTGGCACATCCGGTAAATAATATTCTTGTTTTTTCTTTTAACCTTTTTTTATTTTTCACTCATTTCTTAATTTCACTCTTAAAGGGTCCCACTGGGAGAAAAGACTGTTGATGAACGAGATTATGACGGGCTCGGTTGACACGAGATCGGTAGTTTCTAGAATGACACTTGCTCTGCTTGAAGATAGCGGTTGGTATCGAGCTAATTACAGCTCGGCTGACCATCTTGAGTGGGGCCATCATCAAGGGACCGAATTTGTTACTTCTCCTTGCAATCAATGGAAGGGGGCTTACCATTGCAACTCGACTCAGTTTTCCGGGTGTACTTATAATCGGGAGGCTGAAGGATATTGTCCTATAATGAGCTACAGTGGGGATCTTCCTCAGTGGGCCCAATATTTTCCACAGCCGAACAAAGGTAAGTCTGTCCTTGTGTGTATGTTCTGTAAATGTATTTTTTTTTTTCTAATTTTATTTTATTTTATTATTTAGGTGGGCAGTCATCATTGGCCGATTACTGCACGTATTTTGTGGCTTACTCTGATGGTTCATGCACAGACATTAGTAGTGCTAGGGCACCTGACAGAATGCTAGGTGAAGTTCGAGGAAGTGACTCAAGGTAAGTTTATATTTATGTTTTTACTTATACATTTATTTCTTAAAAAAACAATATGAAGTTGAGTAGTCGAATTTTCTTGTTGATGGTGTTTTTGCAGGTGCATGGCCTCGTCATTAGTGCGTAGTGGGTTTGTAAGAGGATCTGCTACGCAAGGAAATGGCTGTTATCAGCACAGGTGTCTAAACAACTCGCTCGAGGTATTTTTACTAGTAACTTTAAAATGACTTGTTTTCACATATTAATTAAAAGAAAGGTTATTTCAGCTTCAAATTTTTAATGAACTCGGTTAATGCTCGATCGATTTTATGATTTATACTTTCTGGATGCTTTACGTAGGTTGCTGTAGATGGAATCTGGAAAGTCTGTCCTGAAGCCGGTGGGCCCATTCAATTTCCTGGTTTCAATGGTATATACCGAAATCGATATAATATGTTACCTTATGCATTGAATATTAATGATTAACTGATTAGTTACTTATATTCTTGGTGATTATAGGTCAACTGATCTGCCCTGCCTACCATGAACTTTGCAATGTGAAGCCACTTTCTGGATCTGGCGAATGCCTCAATTCGTGCAGTTTTAATGGCGATTGCATTAACGGAAAATGCCACTGCTTTAGAGGGTTCGAGGGCAAAGACTGTAGCAAGCGTGAGTGCCTTAATTAATTAATTAATAAGCAAACCCGTTTTCTTACCCATAAACACAATATCACAAAAATTCGCCCGACTCACCTTTTATTAATTTGTTTGGTAGGTTCTTGTCCTAACAATTGTGGTGGCCATGGCAAGTGTCTTGAATTGGGTGTTTGTAGCTGCGAAAATGGATACACTGGCATCGACTGCTCTACAGGTAACATTTTTATTTCTAAAGCTCCATACCCCATAAAATTATCGATTATTAAAATAATGATCATCATAAGTAGGACTGTTATCAAAACCGAACTTTCCGAACACGAACTTGTCGAACAATTCAAACAAGTTCGACTGTATAAACGAATAAGCACGAACTTGTCAATCCAATAAACGAACGAGCACGAATTGTTCGAATATTAAACGAACAAACACGAACATGTTGGAAAATTAGTCGAACATGAGCTCGAAAATTATCGATTATTCAAGTAATGATCTGATATATTGTCTATATTTGGTTCTAGCCGTATGTGACGAGCAGTGTAGCTTGCATGGTGGTGTGTGTGATAACGGTGTGTGTGAATTCCGGTGCTCGGATTACGCCGGATACAGCTGCCTCAACACCTCAGCTGTTCTCCCGGCCCTATCCGTGTGCCGGGAATTCTTGCCGGATTCCGGCAGACACTGTGCTCCGGCGGACCCCAGTGTTCTTCAGCAGCTCGAGCGTGTAGTTGTCATGCCCAATTACCACCGACTATTCCCAGCTGGGCCCCGCAAGTTTCTAACCTATTTCCTTGCTGGCACCGCCAGGCGGGACTGCGATCGAGCCGCCAAGCGGCTCGCATGCTGGGTCAGTTTTTTCTTTTCGTTTATTTTTTTCTTTCTTCCATATAAAGTTCGAAACTTAGAGCATGATTGGATATAAAAAGTTTTTGTTTTGATTGGATTTTTGGTTTGGGTTGGTTAAATTTGAAAAAGTTGGTATGGTTAATTGTTAGTGGATATATTTAAATAATATTTAAAATAAAATAATTAAAATTAAATTAATGTAAAAGTAGGAGAGAGAAGATGTGATGTGATGGTTAGTTAAAATTATGTGAGTTGATGAATAGTGAATTAAGGTTGATATTGTGTGTAAGAATGATTGATTGATATTATTTAATTATATTGATAATATTGATGATAGTGGGGTTGAGTTAAAGTTGAGTTAAAAAAAGTGGTTGAGTTAAAAATAATTGGATTTTTTTGGGTTGGATTTATATCCAATCATGCTCCGCTTTCACAGTATCTTTGGAGCCATTTGAATACTTTTTAGGACTGAAATTGAAGTTTTTTGGTTTTATCACACTACAAACATCGACAATTTTTTCATTTTTTTCACTACTGCACGGATGGCGTTAAAAGTGTTGCTTCTTTCTTCGATATAAAGTTCGAAACTTTTAACACTTTCACAATATCAGCCATTTGAATACTTTTTAGGACTGAAAATCGTCGTTTTTTTCATTTTATCACACTGCACTACAGAGTACAGACGTGGACAATTTTTTTCAAATTTTCACTACTGTACGAATGGCGTAAGTGTTGATTTCTTCTTTAACACTTTCACAATATCTTTGGAGCCATTTGAATACTTTAGGACTGAAAATCGAAGTTTTTTGTTTTTTCACTACTAAATGGGGTTAAAAGTGTTGTACTCACTAATTGGTTCGTATATTACTTCCAAAAAAAAAAAACAGATATCAATCCAAAAGTGTGACAAGGATTGGGACAACAGGATACGAGTGTGCCACTCGGCATGCCAAATGTACAACTCAGCATGTGGGGCCTCTCTTGATTGCTCTGACCAAACCCTGTTTAGCAATGATGACGAGGCACAAGGACAATGCACGGGCTGGGGTGAGTTCACGTCATGGTTGTGAAACCGGTTGCTCGATATTGTGCAATTCTGTATATTGTAGGGAAGCCTTTTGCGTTCGTG